GAAGGCAGCGGGCCCGTCCCCTGCACTGTGGCTGTCCTCCAAGGATGGTCTGGAAGCATAAGGTGCACGAAGGGGACCGGGCACCACTCTGCTCTCCCCAGGTGGCAGGGAACGTTCAGGGAAAAAAGTCCCTGCCTTTTTACAGGTCTGGACTCTGCGTCCCTGGAGGTCACTGCCGGTGCCTCCAAGGGGGTTGTGTGTGAGTGGGGAGGTGGGGAGGTCCAGGGGGAGCCTGCTGGAAGCACCAGGCCCCCAGAGACGATCCCACTGTCCCCACCCTCCACTCAGAGTCAGTTCAGTGTCACTGTAAATCGGACCCCGCGGACTTTCGTAGAGGCTCGCTGGGGAAGGACGCTGTCCTGCCCTTTGTCTGGTAGGGATGGGGGTCATCAGGAGGCAAGTCGCGCCCCCGTGGGTAACAGACAGGGTTCCCTTAACTGGAGAGTCACCTCACGGAGACTTCCAGGAAGAAAGCAGCACTGCTAGAGGAGAGGAAGACGCTGGGGTTCAGGTGTGAAGACGGAGCCAGAGGGGCGCCCCCAGGTGTGGCTCTGGCAGAGCCACCTGCTCCACTGCTGCTGGAGACTTCTTCCCGGGGGTGAGTCATATTTAACCTGGGCCCTCAGTGTTTTCTCCTACGTTATGATTCCTTCCAGATGTCCCCAGCCCCACTCCTTACTGCCTTGGCAGAATTAGGGCTAGAAGGGTGCCAGGAAGTGTGGCTCCCATGCTTACCCCTCCACGCAGGCCATGGTGACAGGAGCAGGACCACGTGGAGGACAGAAGTCCAGCTGCTGTCAGCAGTGACCCCCACAGGGATGGAGAAAACAGCCTTCCCACAGGCCCCCCAAGAGCAGGTCCGAGGGCGATGCCTGTCCCCAAATGTACCATGGGACGGCGGCCTTCTGGGGGACAGGGATGTCTTTAAGTTATGCCTTCATGGGATTTTCAGTGCATAGCAATGTCAACGGCATTTTGGCTCAAGTGTAGAGACAAGTCTTCAGATTTTCTTTCAATCAAAATTCTCTGCTCTTTCTTTTGCTTGGATCAATATAGAAATTGGTCTATAGGCAGTGTTCGTATTCATTCGTGCCTTCATTCACTCCACAAAGGTGTACTGAGCACCCATGGTGTGGCTTGCACTGTTCCCAGTTTCTAGACATAGTGAGATGCATTGGACACTGGGAATTCTAGCCCAAAGTCCCAACTTCCGGCAGAAGCCTTCTCTAATTTTTCTTAGAATCGCATCATCTAATCAAATATTACCAGTTCAAAAACTGATGGGTAATTTTTCGTGTCAACTTGACTGCGCTAAGGGATGCCCAGGGAGCTCGTAAAACATTCCTTCTAGTGTGTCTGTGAGGGCGTTTCTGGAAGAAACTAGCATTTACATCAGCAGACTGAGTAAAGAGGAGACGCTCACCAATGGGGGGGGCACCATCCCACCCCTGGAGGGCCTGAGAGAACAGGACGGTGCAGAAGAACAAATTCATTCTCCCTGCTGGAGCTGGGACGTCCATCTTCTCCTGCCCGTGGGCATCCGCGTTCCTGGTTCTCAGGCCTTCAGGCATGAACTGGGACTCACACCATTGCTCTCCCAATTGTCAGGCCTTGGAGTCTGAACTGGAACTTCACTACTGGCCTTCCTGGGTCTCCGGCTTGCAGACTGTGGGACTTCTCAGCCTCCGTAACAATGTGAGCGGATCTCTTGTAACAAATCTCTTTCTGTGTACCTCCTATTGGATCTGCTTCTGGTGGACTGCTGCAACATCCACTCTGGGCTTACACACCTGTTCCATCTCTAAGCTAGTCTGCTATCAGAAAGTTGGTGAGGAAGTCTGCCTCAAGGCAATTTCTATGCTCTAGACCACCCCCAGGAGCTTCATCCCTCTTCTTTGGAACTGCCCCTCCATACATGTATTCCCTAGACCTGCTCATCTTTGGCCTGAACATTCCCAGTTTATCCACTACACCCCAGTGGATACAGTTTCGACACCTACCGTACCTCCCTCATGATTTCCTCTGCGACATGCTCTCAAGTTCAGTTGTTCCCAGCTGCAGGTCATGGACTTCTGCGAGCCTCCTCTCAAGGGTTCTCTGAATCTTGTGGTTCTGTGTTCCCTCGGATTAGATTCAACTGCATACGATGGGAAAACAGCAGTAGCTCAAAGCGAGATCAACATTTCTTCACTCTCTCATAACTAAAAGAAGTCTGGGGAGACAGCTGGGGGCCTAGGTGGAAGCTCTGTGATTGTATCAGGAGCCAAACTGCAATCTTTCTTCTCCACCATCTTCAGAATGTGCCTGCTGAACTTGCAGCCACC